TGTTTTATTTTTATTAAAAACGTTATGAAATATCAATATGTTTTATATTTAAAAAATATTATAAGAAAAAGAAATAGTTGAAAATCCAATAATGATTTTAAGCAGACAGAATTAAAGCTATAGTATTTAATAATTAATTCAGAAATGAGCAATTTGGCTAAAAGACACACTAATAGGGATAGTTACCCTATGTACTATAAAAATCATTTATATAAAGTCAAATTTATTTTTATTAATTTTTATAAAGTCTCTCTCTCTCTCAATCATTAAATATTATCGATTCTTTATGTAGATTTATTATTCATGTATTAGCGTAAATTTATTGATCAGCTAAACTGTTAAAATATTGTGTCTAATATTATTACAACTGTTTTATATTGTATGCTTTTAATTGTTTTAGAGGCATAATGTGCAGTGGTGGTGGAGTTAATCATTATGTTTCCGGAATAATTGCGAGTATGCTTCATGAAAATCTCGAGGACGAATATCTTGACAGAATTATAAGGATCTATAAGGTGTGTTACATTAAGTAAAATGATGTTTACCTATTGTTTTTATGTTCCAAAAGTATAATAATATTACTGGTCTTAAATCAGTGATAATTATTCAAAAATCATTATGTTAACCATAAAAATAGATTGTGTGTATGCTCTTATAATTTTACTATTTTCTATATAGAAAATTGTTTCTATATTCTTTTATGCTATTATTTAATACAAAAAAGTTATATAAAAATAAAATAAGTGTCAATTTATAGGAACGATTAGATACACTTTGTGCAACTTTGAATCAATTTCTACCAAACTGTTGTTCATATCAGCGACCACGAGGAGGTTATTTCGTTTGGATCCATCTTCCCTCAGGTATAACAAATATTTTTTTATATAATATTTAAAATATAAGTTATTTTGCCATATTAATATATAGTAATTACCAGAATGTGCGCGTTACCTCAAAAAAGTAACTCGTTACCGTTACTTTTTGAAAAAAGTAACTCGTTACCGTTACTCGTTACCAATTTCGAAAAGTAACGCGTTACTTAAAATGTAACGATTCATTACTTTTTTTATAATGCTAAAAATTATTAGAAAATATTTTTAAAAGAAATTAAGAATAGATTATAAAATGAAACAGTAAATATTTTATAATTGCATTTATTGCACATAATTTGGTTATGTTAAGAGTACAAAGTACAAAATCTTGAAATTTGACATAGACAAAGTACAAAATATTGAAATTTGGCATAAACAAATTTGAAATGAAAAATTCTTAAAATTTAACGCTTTGACATGGAGAAGAAAGTTGTTCGTTTCATATTAAAAAAAAACTAAAGAGTACACAACTCCATGCACATTTTATAGGTACTTAAAAAGAAAAATATATCTCTTTCGCGATCGTTCGGATATCGTTTCATTTCTACATTTTCATGACAATTTTTTCATGACAATGTTTTCATAAAAGAACTATATTAAAAATCAAGAAATAAAATGATTCCCGAAAGCGATAATCTTTTTTTAAAAGTTAAACAATTTTCCAGCAAATAATAAAAGAGGATATCTTTATATTCTCCTTTACTATGTGCTGAAAATAAATAAAAAATCTAATCTAATTTTGGGTATGTTAAGTTAGCACCTCAACTATAGTACTCAGGAGTTCTGATTAGAGTTCTCACTTCCTTTTGACGAGACGAAGAGTTCCCTATAGTTAATAACAAGAGTTCCGCTCAATAAACACTTTTTACATTTTTTAAAAATGGGGTGCTAACTTTTTATCGAATTTCTAGGTGGAATAGTTCTGAGCGGCTTAATAGATTCAATTTGCGATTGCCTAAAGTTCCTGATAATATGTAAAAAAAATTTTCGAATAATAAAAAAAAAAATGAAAAATTTTTGAAAAATTAATTTTTAGATACAATAGTTCTGATGATAATTCCTGCTTCTTTTTGACGATACGAAGAGTTCTCTATGATTTTTAATGACATATGCGCTTAATAATCATTTTTTAATAATTTTTTAAAAATGGGGTGCTAACTTTTTAACGAAATTCAAGGTCGCATAGTTCTGATCAGATTATGTCTGTTTTTAAAGATATAGATGCTACCGAATTCATCAAATGGTGTCAAAAAGAATACAAAGTATCAGCGATACCAGGTGCTCGTTTTTCATATACAGGTAAAGCAAAAAATTTTTTACGTGTAAGTATAAGTTTTCATGCGAAAGAAGTTTTGGAGACTGCAACACAAACTTTATGCAAGGCACTTTTAAGATATATTAAACATCAAGTTAAATATACAAAAGATATTACAAGTAAGAACAATTTAAAAACATAAACAAATTGTTTTTCAATCGAATTAAAATTTGAAAAATTTATAAAAATTATGTAATAGTACATTGTGTAATGAGTAGAGTTTAGTTGCCTATTGCACAACGCAGACGCGCATGTCGCACTTGCTTTGTTCGTGCACCAACGGCGTCCGCGTTGCGCAATAGACAACTACACCACACGAGATGCAAATACTATTTTTTATCACAAGTGCACTGTGCTAGTAATATGCTATACAATTGTAAAGTCGCACGAGCGAAGCGAGTGCGACATATGGGGTGGTGCGTGGGGCGTAGGAAGGGAGGGTTCGGAGGGGAAGCGCAGCCCCCCCTATAAAAAAAATTAAAAAAATATTTCGTAAATTACTTTTCCTCACGCGTGCACGTAATGTGCCCTATACCGCAACGCTTTTGCGTGCGGTATATAGCCAATACCTCAAACCGTTGAGTTATTTCTCTAACCCCACGCAAAAGCGTTACGTTATGAAAAATAACGCATCGCAGTGGTAGCGCTCGTACAAATATCAACACGAAGAAACGCGCGCGACCGGAGCGTCCTTTCGGGGCATCTGGGGAGGGTAAGCATAGTTTTCTCCAATAATAAAAGTAACTATGACAAAACGACAATACAGTATCTATAAATATCGTTCAACTTACAGTAACGTTTAAATTTAATTTCAAATTGTAATAATCTCACAATTATAATTAAAAGTAATGAGCAATACAAAATTTTGTATTGTTAAATATTTATTTACGAAATATTTTAATTTTTTTTCGGGGAGGGTCCCAGCCCCCCGTCGCACAATAAACAACTTTAACACACATGTTACACAATGTACTATTCTGGTATACTTACTGATTTTATCTAAACGTTATTATAAGTCAAATAATATTTTAGGTACTGTATTGTCGTAGTTGATAATTTTATTATTATAGAACACTATACTTACGTGAGATGTCCTGAAAGGGCGTTCCGTGTTGTTATTTGTACGAGCGCTACCACTGCGTTGCGTTAATTTACTAGTTTCGCTGTAGTGTGGCGCTATTTTCCCTAATTAAACGCTTCTGCATTAGAGAAATAACTCAACGACTTGAGTTATCGGCTATTTTTCCCACGCAAAAGCGTTGCGTTGTGGGGCACATTACGTGCACGCGTCATGAAAAATACAACAATTTTAGATCAAAATATATAATAATTTTAAATAACAAAAACTCCTGTATAAATCAAATATAAACTTGGAGAGAAAAGGGCACTCAAAAACGCAGATAACTTTACACAAATGCTAACATATAACAAACGAAACTTTTTTATTATAATAATTGTGTTTACATGTTTCAGCTCATTTTTTAGACTTTTTTAGAGAAACAATGAAATTTATTATTATTCATTTGTCAATAGTTCATAGTTTTTTAGTTTTCTGGTTTATTATTTACAACTCTCTCTCGTAATGAATGGAAAGATTGAATGAAGGAAAGAATCTTGAATGCATGTAGAAAATGAAAAAAGTAAAAGCCATTCGAAATGTTTTTGGATAGCAATTGCCTCTTTTTATATATAATTACCACCATCTCGTCGTCACTATATCTGCTTCCTGTCAGCATCTAAGCAACACTCGTCTTCGGTAAGATATTCTGAATAAAAAGTAGTATATTAAAGTTATTTATATGTATATTATATACAGCATATATGTATAGTATATAAATTATTTATATTATTTTTTATTTAAATACTACATATATTTCAGTGGTTCTAAGCCATGGTCCTCTGAGGGGGGGGGGGGGGGAGAAAACGAGCGAGGGGAGTATGACGTCACGGGAGCGGAGGGGATAACGTCACTTCCGCATACGTGATTTCGACGAATTATTTTTTCTTAATCGTCAATGGTCTTAGGCGGTGCGCCAGTACCCTTAGATTTTTGTCCCGGGCACTGCGATGGGCGTAGCAAAATTTTTAATTTTAAATTAAAAATTTAAATGCTGCAATGGATAAAAATGATGAAGTTTCTTCATGGAATCGTTTGAGCGCGTTGTCTTGTCGTATACTTTTTAGATGAGTTATACTTTTTGACTTGCTTACAATTGAAGGATGAGGTTAGAGTGAGAATTATACCATTGGTAAGTTAACTATAAATTAAACAAAAATTATATACGTTTATAATATTCGCTTTTCAGAACGTATGGCGAGGTGACATACAAGATATCTTCAACCGAGGCATTGCACTTTTGCACGTGATATCTTGAGCGGATAATGATGTCATATTGTCACGTATATCTCTAATATTGTGGCGGCTCGCCACCAGAGGTCCAAAAGGAAGAGACTCGCACCAATTCTCACATGTATTCGAGACAAGTGAGATCTATTCATATAGAGCCTCGATCTAAGGCCGGTATTCATAGTCAATTCTTATATTCAAGATCGTCTTGAGTACAGATCGTCTTAAGATGTCACGAACCAATCAGAGCGCTGCATTCACGTCTTAAGACATAACTTAAGACAGTCTTCAAATAAGAACTGACTATGAATACCGACCTAAGGCCGGTATTCATAGTCAGTTCTTATATTCAAGATCGTCTTAAGTTCAGTCTTGAAGAGTTACGAACCAATCAGAGGGCCGCTTTAACATCTTAAGACATTACTTAAGACAGTCTTCAAATAAGAACTGACTATGAATACCGGCCTAAGACACCTCCAGGCGTCTAAGGCAGGCTCCCACTACAATGTCTTACTGACGAGTCCAGTAGTAGGGGCCGGGACGAAACGCGGCAGTAGATGACAACATTACGACTAGGCTCAGAAGGGACCAAAATATAAAACTTCTTACAGCTCTCGCGGTCAGTCAGTCTGTCAGTAAGTTACTATTTGTAAGTCTTTCAGTCATTCAGTAAATTTATCACGAATCTGGAAAATATTTTAAACATTTAAGGGTACGGTATGTGTGCCCTACTGAAGCCATAAGTTAATATACTTAATATATTCCTAGCAAGAAATATTTAATGTAGATTTAGTGATTCTTATCGTTTTTATTTTTAGCATAATGGTGGATAAATGATCCTGTTGTCTGCTTACAATTGAAGGATGAGGTTAGAGTGAGAATTATACTATTGGTAAGTTAACTATAAATTAAACAAAAATTATATTAGTATATTCGCTTTTCAGAACGTATGGCGAGGACATATAAATTTCAGGATTCATGAACTTTTGAACACCGCCACTTCATTAGAATAAAGCGGCGGTGCTACGGAGGACGAGATCTTTAATATGTGGGAGCAGGCTATGGGCGGAATCCATAGATATTGCTTAAGACTCGAGATGTTCTGAAGCTAGTGCTTAAGACGTCACGAACTGTATTAACGTCTTAAGACATTGCTTCAATTGATCTTGAGATTGAGAACGGACTATGGATTCCGGTCTATATGTGCCTCCCACAGAATTATTTGGATTGCGGCCCTATGAGGATCCAGAGCCGGAAAATTGGAATTGTAAGTATATTTATTTATTTCTTTTCCATATTTATATTTATTTGTACATATTCACCACATTTTAATGTCTTTTGTATACTTTTCTGAAATTACTGAGGATTGTGCTTTATTATTATTATCAGGGTTGGGTAGTAACTAGTTCAAACGTTAAAAGTTAAAAAGTTAATAACTTTTAACTTAACTTAGTTAATTTTAAATGCATTAACTTTTAATCTAACTAAGTTACTTTTAAACGTTAAATTTTTTAACTTTATAACTTTGTTTTAAGTTAAAAAATTTTGTTATGTCTTTTAAATATCTTAGAAAAATAAGATATAATAAGACTAAAGCCGAAATTCATGGTCGAAACATAGTCTAAATCTCAAGGAATGTTTTAAGATGCTAATACGGCTCTGATTAGTTCATACACTAGTTTAATACCGTCTCGAATATAACGGTATTATATAACGCGCTGCGACAGCGTTATCAGCTTGTCGATAACCGCGTGCGAAGGCGCCCGGAGGCTATTGACTCCTTAACGATTACGCGGACCCCGCGCAAATTTATGACGTCATTTTCCTCCCCCGACGTCATCATCCCCCTCCCCTCTAGTGACGTCATACCCTTCGCCCTGTGACGTCATTCCCCCCTCCTGTGACGTTATACTCCTCGCCTTATGACGTCATCCCCCTTCCCTCTCGTGACGTCATACCCCCCTCGCCGCGGGTTTCCCTCGCCCCTCATCTCCCCTCAGAGGACCATGGCTTAGAACCCGCCTAGCTATACTACTCTTTTTTTATTTTTATTTATATTATTTCATTATCTCTGAAAAAGATTAAAAAATGAGCCGAAACATGTAAGCACAATTATTATAATAAAAAAATGTTGTTTTTTATAGTATATCAACATATTTGCGTAAAGTTATCTACACTTAACTCCTAGTGCCCTTTTCTCTTCAAGTTTATATTTAGGCTGCAGTCCACTTACTTCTTCCAAATGCTCTGAACACTACACTTTAAACGCTGCGGTTGAATCCATTATTGTTCCGAATGTTACAATCGCTACGTAAACGCTCCAGTCAACCCACCTCCCGAGGTAAAGCAGCGAGAGCAAAAATTGATGTATTGATGATATATCAGAGTTGCTGGAAGCGTTCCGAAACGTCAAATGGACCAGTCATGTTAGTGATACAAATGCTCCGTAGCATTTGAAGCGCTAAGTGGATCGCAGCCTTAATTAAGGGACTGGATTCTATAAGGGGATATGCGTGGATTTCGCGAGATATGTATTAGACGCAGGGCTAATTTTGAACATCGCTCTAATTTTAATTTTGACGACTGATTCTTGTAGAATAGCGCGTCTTTTTTATCTTTAAATTAAATTTGTATTTTTTTTCAAGTTATAAACAAAAAAGTAATTTTTTTAATGAAAAAATTTCAATAGATTTTTGTGTTCAACTCGCCATATCTCAGCCATATCTCAAAAAATATGACAAACTTTAAAATCTTAATTACAATTTTATATTGTTTGGATAATTGTTACGAAGACACTTCAAATAATTTATGTTTAAGTTTAGGATATATTAAGAGAGTATTCACTAAACAAGCATTTTCTTACAAACATTTGCAAATGTTTGCGAATATTTGAATATTTTGTATGTAGTGTTTCTGTGTTTGAAGGCTTCGCCGAATTTATTCGCAGTTTAAAAATGCTTGCAAACGTTCGCAAACGTTTTGCGTAGTAAGTGGATACTCACCTTTAGAACGTACATAATTCACAAATATGAGCGAAACTTCATAATACAAATTCCTATTTTTTTATGAAATTCCAAAAAAATTTTAATACAAAGATCTGTATCAAGTAGTATCCAAGAAAACATTACCATATGTATAATTGTATAAAATAAACGAATATTTTAATAAATTTTATTTTCAACTAGAATTCTTTAAAGTTCTCCTTTATCATCTATTTTTATTATTAATTCAGATTCTCTTTAAGCAACTGCAATCGCAAACATCTCATACTACAAAAAATATAATAATATAATACATTGTGACGTGACGTTTTTTGTCCGTTACTGGTTCGATAATTAAAACATGCGGATTCTGCCCTCTCGGGAGGGCGAGCGTATTTGCGTGCGGGCGCTGGTTTTCATGCGCCGTATTAATTTCGTAATTTTTGTAATATTTTTCTTTGTGCGAGCATTTTTATTAGCAATAGACGTACGAGGATTAGTGGCTATATTTTGAATTGTATGGAGCTATCTCACCCGATTGCTAGAGGAGAGTCCGAGAAGGAAATTATTGGCGACGAATACTCTCAGCGGCGGGGAAGCGCAGGTCGTATAATTACTATCATCCTTTTGTTTATGCCCTCTTAGTGCCGATAACTTTTATAGAGAAAAGTAAGAGCCTTTCCAACTTGGAGAGAGAATCTTCCAGGCACCCGTGCAGCTGGAGAAGACTATCGTGAAAGCTGCACGTGGAGGCAGAAGGCGCTATAGTACACGGTGGCTCAGGGCTCGCCACCTTGGACATATAATCTACCCCGGGGAGTGAAATCGGCAGAGTAAGCAAGGAGAGGACGACCCTGAGGAAAATTCGGATTTTACGCCGAGCTACGTGCTACCGCGGGCCCACGCAATTCACGGGGCTGTGCGAGCAAATTAGCGGCCAATAGGATAACATGATCCTGTATTACACGACGCGGCCTGCGTGCCTCCTGCCAAGGATATGGACTTCACTTGCGTGGTGAACACGAGTTGAGAGTGATCGAGGAAAAATTGTAAGAAAGTGCTGGATCACAAAGAGAGAAAAGCAGAGAGAATACCCGAGGGTTTCCTGGCTGATGAAGGGATGGAGGAGAATTCTGAGGATATCGGTCAGACAAGCATCGGGATTTGTAAGGTCCCCGATTCTTTGCGTCGCGATATCGGGTGAAATGCACGTGTCGACAGCATGCCGATCGAATACCATCCGTAACGAGGGCGATCGCAAATAGAGAACTTATTGGATACCGTGTGCGACTCGCCCGAATCGCTCTCAGAATTATTGCGTGTTTTCGCATAACGCTCGCCACTTCTCGTTGCCACCAAGTCACCGCGTGTCGTATCTGTAACTGCGTGTAATTGTTCGTGTTATTGTCTCCGTGTCGAACAAATAACGTCGTCGAGCTAGAATTTTCCGTCTTTTGTCAGAATCAGAGTAATTGTTATCGCGAGAAAATCCTAATCCATCGGAGGCTTGAATAACTAATTTGTTACCGCGGGTAGAATGGTTACCATATCCCGCCAGCAGTAAATTTAAATCACAGTCACGATTGTATCTCAATATAATGTCCATTAAATTGTATATATCGTGTCTATGCTCTGTCGCTAGGCACGCGTTGTTTATAACAAACGGCAATGATTACCTACCGTCCTACCGACAGTGAACGCGCGCGGCGCACCTCGCTAGGCGACTCGTATTCAGCCGCGCGCTTGCATTTGGCGATGGGCTGGGCAAATTTGAATATTTTTATAAATTAATATCTCGTTAACTATTGCGAAAATTGTAAAACGGTAGAAGATTTTTCTCCTCAGTTTAGTGCATTCTACTCCTATGCGACAAAATTTTTCATTAATTCTCAAACACCCTGTATAATGTATAAGAGTACTGGGTAATAAAATATTATAAAAGTAAGAATATATATTTCTTTTTATTATATAATTAAATTATGTAGATTTGTATACAGTAAAAAGCAAATTGTAAATTATTACAATCCAATTTATTCAGAATCACCTACTAACTCTTTTTGTTTGGTTTCCAACATTTGTTCGGCTTTACTCATGTACTGCTGACTAAGAATATCTATATAACTTTCTATTCTGAACACTAGATCTTTAGCTAGTTTTTCCTTTTGCTTTATTACCTTAATTTGTTTATTACGTATCTGTCTAACGTTGTCACAACATTTCACATAAAAGCTTTTTGCATTTTTAGATAACATTTCTCTATGTTCCTTTGTTACTCTGTAATATAGCAATATACACACACATTTATATATATTTCTTTGTATATAATATATATATATTAATCTAAAATAACAATTATATTTAGTTATTACACATGATGTATATTAGATATCTTCCAACAAGTGACACAGATGATATGATGTAACACAGTGTATCAGTACATCCTTGTTCAATGTTAAACGAGAATGAGATGATTACTGTGTTGTATTGTGCCGCTTGTTAGAAGGCACACATTATATTTTTATCTTATTTTACAAATAGATAAAAAATGAATACTATTTCAGTTATAAATTTTAATTATATATTGCTTATATATAGAATTCAATTTAAAATTTTTTTAAATATAAATAATAATTTAATACTTTTTTCTGAAAATATATTAGCATAATATTTCTGTATAATTGAATTTTTCAAACTTAAGAAATATACAACAATATAATATATTTTGGCTTTTAATAATTATCGAGATAATTATAAAGGATAGTAAAGTTTAAAATTTTTCTTATTAAGATATAATAGTATTAAGATATAACAATATGTACATACATAGAAAATATTATATTCTTTTAAAAACTTACTTAAGAATAGGAATATAAATTGTGGTTCCATCTTGTTGTGGATTTAACTTCATCTGATTTTTCATAAGGCTTTTTAAAATATCTGGGATAGCTTGTGGAAAAGTAGATACATTCAACACTATCAATTTAGGCTTACGACTAATTTGTGCAAGTTCTTGCAATGTGAAATCTTTTCCTTCAAACTTGACAGACATCATTTCGATAGCACCTATACTTGATCTTACTGACAAATGTTGGGTAAAATCATCTTTTAACCTTTCAATTGCATTATCAAATTGAGATATTAATTTATTAACCTCAATAACTTGTTCAAATTCATTATAATCAATGTGTTGTATCTTCTGCTTCTTTTCTCCACGGTTTTTACTTTTTGCTAATAGATCAGAAGTCATAGAAAAGTCTCTTGCATTATTTGTTTTGATGAATTTACAAAGAGAAGAATTTGAAGTATTATAACACTGTATGATTTGCAGAGGCCTTTGCTGACTCTGAAGACAATATATTATTTTATTTGATGAACAATAATGTACATATTTTTTTCTTAGTTTTAATGCTGTAATTATCATATAATTTTTTAACTGACTATTAGAACAGAAATGTGTGCCTATTAAACTTCCCATTTTTTTATTATGATAAATGTTCAATATATATAATCATATATTATGTCATATCTATATCCAATATCTAATTTAGATATTTATTTTTAGTAATATTCGTAAACTGTACTTTTAAATATGCACATATATATATATATATATATACACACACACACGTGATTATTGATTTGATCGTGAATGAGGTTTCGGCTACTTAACCTTAAACCTTAAGGCCAGTTTCACAAACGTCAATGGCTATGTTTACACCGTGCACTTAGTCCGCGACCTATACGATAGGTATCTTTGTTTAACTTACAGGATAAACAAGGACATCTATTGTTTAGGCCGCGGCCTAAATGCACGGTGTAAACGTAGCCAATAAATCCATGATTTAGGGTGCAAACCCATGCAGCGGAATAGCGTAACGCGGAACGAGAGCAGAACCAATAACGAGCATTCCGTGTTTCTAGAGAATCTCGTGATTGGTTCTACTCTCGTTCCGCGTTACGCTATTTCGCTGCATGGGTTTGCACCCTTACGCTGCATCTAAAAGCAGCCTGAAGTCTCGTAAACTCACTTTAAAAGTGAGGTTATAAACCTGTGTTGTTATTTGTTAATTTTACCAAAGGCTGTGTTCCAAAATTGTTTGTCAGACATCCTAAGGGTGCTGTCTCATGATACGGAAATTATACCGGAACGGAACAGTGAGACCAATCAGAGCTCTGCAATCATTACTCTACTTTCCTTTCTACGATTGTAATTGGTCTCACTGTTCCGTTTCGGTGTAATTTCCGTATCATGGGACAGCATCCTAAACCATTATTGTGACACTTTCTTTTCGATAGGTTTTGGAATGGCGCTTACTCACCAAATAATTGGTTTTTATTTATGGATCTATAAGTAAGAACCAATTGCTAGGTGAGTAAGCTGCTTTCCAAAACCCATTGAAAAGAAAAGGTTTTAATTTTTTAATCTATGAGAATAGATTTATATCATTGCAATGTACTCAATCAGTATATACCCAAGCTGTAGCAAAAAAAATTACATAAAGCCCCAAACACAATGGGCGCATTCAACAGAAAAGAGCGCTACGAGAGCGCTCGCTGTTATTGGTGTATTCTTCTAGATCATCCAATCAGAATTTTAAATCTGGAAGAATATACCAATAACAGCGAGCGCTCTCGTAGCGCTCTTTTCTGCTGAATGCGCCCAATGTGAGAGAATAGCGATAAGAATAGTAATAACACGGTTTCTACTTATGACAAATTAATCGGATACATAGGAATACACAGTTTTCTGATAGGTTTAAGGATTAAGTACATATAAAGTATATGTATATCATATTTGTAGATGTAGTCGCGCTCAGCATCAATTTTTCATTTAAATGAAGAGAATAATCGCATCACATCTCAATTTTTCAACATTACGACTTTATCGGCAGTGTCAATACTGTCAATAATACACGAAATTCGCATTATGCTAACTGGTGTCACTAGTGTAACTTCGTTCCAAACAGTTCCAAGCGTTCACTGTGGTTCACTATATCACATGAAAAAGGCTGATGCCGGTGATCTTGTGATGCTAGTTCTCACTTTTTTCTAAATTTGCACTGTGTTTCTATTGGCATAATTGACAGACTACGAAATTTTAGATAATTTTTTTATAAATAGTTCCTTAATTCTTGTGACAATATTTGTTACTTCCACCGTTCCACGTTTGAAGTTATACGTCAAAAACCTATACTAGCAAACTTATGGTAAATACGGTAGGTATTGCTAATAATTAAAGCAATTTTACATTTTTATTTTATATCAAAAAGGATATATAGAAGAGAAACGTGATACTAACGTTTCTAAATTAAAAGTAAATTAAAATTATATTTATGTTTATATTTGAGCATTTTAAACAATTCAAGAATTATATATATATATCCAAAGCATAGAGAATGGACTGCGCAATCCGTGTGCCAAAATAATCGATCTTAGGGATGATAGAGGGACCGTGAAAGACGGCCATTCCCTCTCATTCTCTCTTCCATTACATTACACCATCGAATGGAAAAAGATAGAATTGGCCGTTTTCCACGGACTCTCTCTTTTTCATTTTCGTCGACCACATTTTGATACTACTTAGATACGGGATTCCGCAGTCTATTCTCTATGCTTTGAGATATATATATATCAGGAGACGCAGTAGTGTCTCTAGCCATGTTCAAAAAAACTACTAGTTAATATATATATATATATACCACACAAAAGATATATACAAAAAGATGATACAATTTATAAACAAACTATGGAAGTATATTTTTTTCAACAAAATTAACATTTATGATATATTAAATTAATACATATTTTATTTATTTATCTTAGAATTTACATTTTTGAACATATTATTTTTGTTATTTGATCATTTACTCAAAATATTTGTTAGTTTGATACTAAAACTGTTGGATATAAATTTAACACAAATTATTTAAATAACATAATTACATTATATTAAAATAACACTCAAATATGTTAAAAAATTTAACAAAATATTAACAAGGACTTGAATAGATTTTCCAATATAAATACGAAATTTTTTTAGTGTCTATATTTATTATTACAAGTTGTGAATTCATTAAAGCTCTAAGTATAATTGTTATTTGCAGAGTCATTTTTGATTTGGATACAAGTAGATACTGATAAATGCAATAAATTATTGAAAATTGGAAAACAACTTTTAATTTGATCAACATGAGTAAAACGCCAGTTTCTATTCTCCAAGAGATGATGGTAAAGCAGGGGATGATACCTGATTACGAGTTAATACATGATGGTGGAGGCCGTCATGTAAATACTTTTACATATCGAGTTACATGCGACAGTCTCAGTGCAACTGGTACAGGTCGTTGTAAGAAAGATGCAAAACACGAAGCTGCCACAGCTATGTTGAAAGAAATTGCTGCACACAGAAATTATCCACAATTAACAGATGCTAATACACCAACGGAATCTCCATCTAAATCACCATTTCATTCGATACCTCTGCCACCAAAGACAGGAAATGTACCTTTCGTTAATGCCATAGGCGAATTACAAGTAATTATTTTAAATTTATATAACTACTATTATTACAGCTACATATTTCTATGGATTTATTTATCATGTTTTTTACAGGAACTTTGTGCTGAAAATAATTTAAACGAACCAGAATATATTCTAATTCGGGATGTTGGACCACCACATGCTAAACTTTTTACTATTCGATGTAAAACATCTAATTTTGAAGAAGATGGAATAGCAACTACAAAGAAACAAGCAAAACACGATGCAGCAAAAAAAATGGTGGATAAAGTAAAAAGTGTTCTGGATAAGTTAAGTTCTCTCTTTAAAGAGAAAAATGAACAAGATTCTTCAAACTCTTCTATTACAACTATTGACACGGAAACACTGAATAAAAATGCAGAAGAACGCTATCGCGCAGTGATCAAATCGAGAAAGATTAACTTAGGTCTTAAATTAAGAGAGTACCACACTCATTGGAAAAATTCCTTGGAGACGGATAAGCGTGATAAAATAATAAAACAATTGGAATGTATGTTTCCCAATGAATTAGTTAACAGTGAATACATTAGCGAAGATGTTATAAAAGAAAAGTTATCTCAATTAGAAACTATATTATCAGAAGATGATGTAACAATTGATATAAATGATGTTAGTTCAGATAATTGTTATATGAAATCAATACAGCTTAATACGTGTCCTGTTCTAGTACAAATTGGTATGGGTAAGAATGAGTCCGAAGCTTCTTGGCAAGCGTTATGTCAAATCGTAGAATCTATTAAATTACTTTTATCGTAAAATGCAAGATTGCTAAAATTAAAATACAAATTTTACGTAATACTGATAATACTTATGAAGGTTTTTTTCTCAATCTTACACAATTTTACACGAGGTTTTTGGATTGATACAGTTAAATTTTAATTACATCTTGTAATTTTGTTTGAAATGTTTTTGTATTCTGTATTGTATGAAATATTTCTTTATTTCTATAAAATGTTTTTGCTTTAAATTGATGCTGTGTAGATTAACAAAGAAAGTATATCTTATTACGTACATGATCTCTTAAGTGTAAAAAGTAGAAAATAATATTTTTGTTATTATCTTTTTATGGTGCAATTAAATTAATTGTGGAAATTTTTTAATTTTATTTATTTATGTAGCGTCAATGGTATAGGATACATACATAATATATACATACCTGTGCGTATGAATCATTGAATTTATTTTTATTTTATAGTTATTATTTTTAAGTATAATCTTTTATGGATGTGTCTTAAAAGTTGTGATTTATTTTTAATAAAATAATTATTTCTAATTATTTTAAAATATGTGATTTGTATCCTACATTCGAAATAAACATACATATAAACATTTACTTAAATTAATTTTTTATTTAATATCGCATAATAATGCTACACCTCGAAGTGTCCAATGTCGGGGGTTATAATCTGTTTCAAAGTCGATAGAACCCACATACTTTGCGTCTGTTCTTTGAGGCTTTCTATATATAGGACATTCGTATAATTTTGGATCTTTACCGGCAGTGGTATTTATTGCGAAAATATAAATAACCGGCATTTGCTCGTAAAGAACCTTTGGTCTGCTCTCAACGAGTTTGCCAGCCTTTCTATCAAGCGACGCTCCTTCCAAAAATAAACCATGAACGTAAACTCCTTCCTGAGGCTGATTTTTAATATCCTCTTTATTATAGCGCGTAATCACGTTCTGCAAAACTACGGAATCTAAAGCCCAACCTTTATGCGCTCTGGTTACTTCCTAAAATTCATTTATTTAATTGAAGTTAAAACAAATTAAATAATAAAATACGAAGTTAGTTATTTTGCAACAAAATTAAATTGCAAAATGGTAAAAGACCGACTCACATTAGTCCGTTCTATCTATACATGAGCACTTTGTCAAAACTTATCATACACCCTGTATGCAGAGTGTGTATCCTAAGTATTTTAAAAGATTTTAAGGGATGATTTCTCAATTCTAGACAAAAACTTCGTATGTTTGAAACGGCTTAGTTTCAAAGATACATAGCGTTAAAATGAAAAAAAAATTTATTTTTTCGAAAATCATTGGGTCATTTTGATTACATTTTCTATGTGTTTGGAAGATGATAAAGCCTCATCTTTTGAGACTGTATATATTACTTTTTTATTCAATCACAGGAGTGGACCCAAAAATAAGCGAGTACGTTTTTATGAAAAAAACTAATGTCATTGAATTTTTTATGATAAATGGGATAAATCCCACAAAAAAATTTCTGTAATATTTTCGATAGAATAAGTAATTTATTTACTAAATCAAATAAAATGATTTTCAATGTATAAATCCGAATTTATTTTTTTTCGAAAATTATTCATTTCTATCGAAAATATTAAAGAGACCTTTTTCTATTGATTTATCTCATTTAGTATAAAAAAATTTTTAATTAAAAAAAGTAGTATACCGATTTTATTTCCGTCAAAAAAGTGTTTTTGCTTATCCTTGGATCCGCTCCTTATTTGAATAAAAAAAATAATGTATAACCCACGAAAAGATAAGATTTTGTTTTTCAAATGCGTATAAAATTTCAAAATATTCCGAAATTTTTAGGAAAAATGAATTTTTTAATTTTTACATCATGTATCTTTAAAATTAAGCCGTTTTAGACATACGGTCATTGAATCTTCATCTTGAATTTGTGTGAGGAGAGAATCATCTTTTAATCTTTAATCCCTTTAAAATCTTTTAGCATACTTAGGATATACCCTGTATATTTTTTCATTAAGATTGTGATATGAATTTAATAGTAATAATCAGGAAATGGAAAGTTACTTTTTAAAAGTAAGAAGTTACAGTTGCTCGTTACAGAATAAAAAAAAGTAACGAGTTACCGTTACTAGTTTTATCGCTTTCTAAAAGTAACTTATTACCGTTACTAGAAAGGTAATTTTTCGTTACTTTTTCATTACTTTTTAAAAATCAATCTAAAAATGTACTTTTGCAGTATTTTTTGCTTAAACGTTAATAAAAGTATTATATATATATGTATATATAGCATTTATAACACTGACACTATGTATTGTGTCTATATATAGTAATATATATTGTAATAATCTAATATATTGTAATTATGCATAAAAATTTTTAATATTGTAAATACGCGTGTGTACGCACGCCAAACGCCGAGGGACAGCATTTCTGCCGGTACACAACTCAGAACAAAATGTGTACGATGTTTAAATTAAGGGTCTGCGCACACAATGGAGAAACAGATATTAAATATTAAAATATTAACCTATCAGATACCAGTTACACCGGAATACACGATTCTGATAGGTTAATATTTTAATATCTATAATACCTGTTCCTCCATTGTGCGCAGCCCTAAGTTAAACTAAATGTAGCTTGTATACCTGAATTAAATAAAAACATTCAATGTCCTACAACCACATTTATAGCTCATAATTAATAACATGTAATTTGTTACATATATAACGGAATAACGTGTCCAATCGTCCAAAGTAACGATAAAAGTAACTGTAAATTTCGTTACCGTTATTAAAAAAAATGTAACTACGTTACCGTTACAGTTACCAAAAAAAGAAAATAGTTATCAGTAAAGTTACCAAAATAGTAACTTGTAACTGTAACTTTGTTACAAGTAACGAGTTACTTCCATTCCCTGGTAATAAAATTATAATTTGTAATATTTACCTGTCTCATGGCCGTTAAAAATCCTTGTGGATTAAAAAATCCGGTCATCCAAAATACTCTTGGGCGACCATGAATGCACCATTGTCTGAACTGATGGTCTCTTTCTAAAAGCTCCGTATACCAGAAACCTAAAGTTGCTGATTCCCAAGATATTTTTAACCACTTATCAGGGATGCGTGCGTCATACATTGCATCTAATGATTTCCGTAAGCCTTGACTCATTACTATAGTACCTTCGATAGCCAGCTTTAAATCCGTTAAAGTACTTTGTACTTCTTTAATAACTCGTGAAATTCTAAAAAGAATTATTATTAAAAAAATTAAAAAGAGTAATGATTTGTTTCATATATTTTTTTTACTGTATAAAACATATAATAAACAGTATTTCACAGGCAATAAATTTAAACTCATTTTATGTATGTATGATAGATGAAAAGGAATATTACCGATCTACTTCTTGTCTTAGAAAAATGTTCATAGGCAACAATGGACCCATTCTTTGAAGCGCTTCTTTTACTTCAAAGGAATTGTACTGCTTGGGCAATTTAGACAGCATATCATTAGCTAATTTATAAACGACGTTTTCTCTAGTTTCACCCCCCTGTGCACCACCCTCTTTTGGCTGTACGTTAAGAATTGTATCAAGTATTCCTTTTGCTGTATTAATCTGATAAGTAATGTCGGCGTTTGAATGTAATCCAAAGACTTCGGGTGTGTCGGTCGCAGGTAAACTATCAATGTAGTCTAGATATCCCTGAAGATTTCTCGTCTGAGGCACTCTATATCCTCGATAAAATTCAAAGCCAGGTCGTAATAATACATCGCAAAACCAAACATAGGTAAAAGTAGTTAATAAACGTTTGTCAAAATCGTCTGTAACTCTACCGCCATATTGGACCTGAACATGTAAAAATATAAAAATATAAAATTGGCAGTTCTTGATTCTTACACATTAAACTATCTTTTAAAATGTTAAAAAATATTTATTTGATATAAAAAATATATTTTCTTAAATTAAAAAAAAAACGTTAATTACAATGTTAAAACAATTATATCTTTTTTTTTGTTTTTTAAGAAAAAAGAATTCATTAATTTTAATTTTTTCATTGCTCAGAAAATGATTTAAAAATATTTAAAAATACAATATTTTTTGCTGATTAGATTTGGTTCTTACTATTAAAACCCATATGAGCGTATATAAATATTGCGTTTTTCCATTGAGAATAACTCAAAAATAAGTTGAAATATTCTAATAATATTTTACTTGACAGTTATTCTAATAGTATTACTATTATAGAGCTCGTAATTTATAATCACTAAATATAGTATTTTTGTCTCATTTGTCCTTTTGTTTAATAATTATTTTATAAAAAAATATATATCATTAAATTTATTTAGTGAAAATGAAAAAAGTAGATCGAAACCTCTCCAAGCATATAGCAGACCGTCGGCCAAGAAACACCCTTTTTAGGATCCATATCATCCAAGTGATTCTGTATGAACTGAACCGATGCTGCAAAATCTGCTTGATTAAATTCATAAGGTATATTCCAACCGAGCGGTCCAAATTTTCTTCTCTCTTGTACTACAGTGTGTAAAAATGCAACTGCGTATAACAAGGGCGGCCACTGCGATTGGGTACTGTAATCCAATGCATCTTGAGTTACTGCTTGATAAGTTCTTTTCAAACTAGCTCTTATGCCTTGAGGTGGTTCATTTGTGAATTTGATTGCCATCTGAAATATATATTTTCTATATCCACAGTTGTATTTCTTTAAATTTATTTCGCAAAAATATATATATATATATAATAATCGACATGTTTACGTTAGTCAAGAATTAAATGCGTTAAATACACATTATGAACTAGGAATAACCTGTAGTAAACCGATGGGAAATTGAGGGTGTACTTCCGTTGTCATCCATAATCTGAACACTTCGTGAACAGTTTCTGTTTCAACAAGAGCATCCATTACTTCTGTACAGAAAGGCAATGATAAATGAATATTTTGTAACAGAACCCAACCACCCGTACTCATAGCTTCGCTAATCATTCTTCGAGCATGAAGCTCTTGGCCTTGCCCCATAGATACTGAATT